CGGCGGTAGATGATGTCCACCACGGTGCCCAGTGCGCCGTTGACGAGACCCGCCTTCAGCCACAGGTTGCTGCGCAGCATGACGCGCGCGCCCTTGGACAAGTAGAGCACCCTGTCCAGGCCCCCGGCCGCGTCCGTGGTCCCGTTGGCGGCGCCCGGGCCGTGGTGCCTGGCGGGGATACGGGCAACAGGGGTCTGCAGGTCCACGAGCCTCTTTATGTTGTGCTCCATCACCTCGACGCGCGTCCAGTAGATGTGCAGAGCATCACGGAAGGCCTCCCGCTCGGCCACAGGCACGTTGAGCAGGAACCGCTCACTGAGGCGAGCAAAGTCCGCGTTCGTGGTGTTCCCAACACTGAGGCGGTCCAGAAACTCGCGGAGCGTGTCGTCAGCTTGCCGCTGAGACACCGGCAGGATGACGGACTTCTGGAAGGAGGCGAACGCCATCCTTCCCCGCGTCACCTCGGGCGACACAGGCTGGCGCGCAGCACGGTTGTGCCACGGTGCTGGCAGTGGTGGGTACAGCACTGGATCCCCCACCGGCGGCAGCTGGCGAATGTCACCTACAAGATAGACAAAACAGCCGCCAAACGGGTCGTCACAGTCAGGCTTGCCGTCCCGGCAGCGCCTCTCCATGTAGCCCAGCAACTTGCTGCCCACCATGGAGTACTCGTCCACGATCAGGAACCGGACAGGGGCCATGGCGTCCTGGAACTTGCGCAACGCCTCGGCGTTCATCTCGGGGTAGTCCCCGACTTGGACGGGAATCTTGAGACACGAATTGATGGTCTCCCCGCCAATGTTCAAAGCAGCCACACCGGTGTAGGCCATGAGCTTGACTGCCTCCAGCCCGAAGGCCTCGACAATCATCGCCATCATTTTGTCAATGACGGTGCTCTTGCCAGACCCTGCTTTACCTTGAATGATGACCCGCTTGGGCACGGGGCGCGCATTGGGGTCAGGGTGCAGGACAGAGTCTATCTGGGACTGCAGCAGGTTCAGCACGGTCTGCTGCTCCGCGGAGTACACGATGTCGGGCAGCACACGTTCCCGCCACAGTGTAATGAAAGATCGAAAAGTGGGAAAAAAATATTTTATTGTTCTAACTGACTTAACTTAATGCAGAAAGACGCATTCTGGTAGGAAAAGTGCCACAGGACCATCCAAGCGTCACAGAGACGCCATTTTTGAGAAAAATGGGGTAAAAACGCCGTATTTTCAGTTCTTGACACCCATGGCTTCTGCTGTTTTGCGAATCCGCAACTTTTCTCGACGCCAACTTGTTAAGGGGTACTAGGACAAGACTTGAGAACGTTTGTAGCATTGAACTAGGTGGGGAACTCGAGATATTTCGCCTCAAAGTTTACAAATATCAGAAAAATCTACCAAAAATGCCGTTTTTGAACATTTTTGAAGCCCTGGCTTGGGCTCAATGGTGAATCCGCAACTTTTCTCGACGCCAGCTAGTAAAGGGGTACTAGAACAACACTTAAGATCATTTGGAGCATTGATCTCGGTGGGGAACTCGAGATATTTTGCCTCAAAGTTAACAAATTTCCTAAAAATCTACCAAAAATGCCATTTTCTGACCTGTTTGAAGGCTTGTCGTCGGCTGTCGCGAATCCGCAACTTTTCTCTACGCCAAATAGTAAAGGGGTACTAGGACAACACTTGATAACATTCAGGGCATTGAGCTAGGTGGGGAACTCGAGATATTACGCCTCAAAGTTAAATTTTTTCTAAAAACCTGCTATTTTCTGACCTTTTTGTAGCCCTGGCTTCGGCTCTAAGGTGAATCCGCAACTTTTCTCGACGCTCACTAGTTAAGGGCTACTACGACAAGACTCTAGATCATTTGGGAGCATTGAGCAAGGTGAGGAACTCGAGATATTTCGCCTAGAGCAGTAGTCAAGCCTACAAAAAGGTCAGACACTGGCATTTTTGGTAGATTTTTTTAGACACTGGTTAACTTTGAGGCGAAATCTCTCGAGTTCCGCACCTAGCACAATGCTCCAAATGATCTCAAGTGTTGTTCCAGTACCCTTAAACTAGTTGGCGTCGAAAAAAGTTGCGGATTCGCCATAGGGCCGAAGCCAGGGCTTCCAAAAGGTCAGAAAATGGCATTTTTGGTAGGTTTTTAAAACATTTTTAAACTTTGAGGCGAAATATCCTGAGTTCCCCACCTAAATCAATGCTCTAACTGATCTCAAGTGTTCTTCTAGTACCCCTCAACTACTTGGCGTCGAGAAAAGTTGCGGATTCATCATTGAGCCGAAGTCAGGGCTTCAAAAAGGTCAGAAAATTGCATTTTTGGTAAGTTTTTTGAAACTTTTTAAACTTCGAGGCAAAATATCTCAAGTTCCCCTCCTAGTTCAATGCTCAAAATGATCTCAAGTGTTGTTCTAGTACCCCTCATCATGTAAGCGTCAAGAAAAGTTGCGGATTCGCCATAGAGCCGAAGCCAGGGCTTCAAAAAGGTCAGAAAATGGCATTTTTGGTAGGTTTTAGAAAATTTTGAAACTTTGAGGCGAAATATCTCGAGTTCCCCACCTAGCTCAATGCTCCAAACGATCTCAACTGTTGTTCTAGTACCCCTCAACTACTTGGCGTCGAGAAAAGTAGCGGATTCACCACTGAGCCAAAGCCAGGGCTTCAAAAATGTTCAAAAACGGCATTTTTGGTAGATTTTTAGGACATTTGTAAACTTTGAGGCGAAATATCTCGAGTTCCCCACCTAGCTCAATGCTCCAAACCTTATCAAGTGTTGTCCTAGTACCCCTCATCATGTAAGCGTCAAGAAAAGTTGCGGATTCGCCATAGAGCCGAAGCCAGGGCTTCAAAAAAGTCAAAAAAATGGCAGTTTTGGAAGATTTTTAGGAAATTTGGAAAACTTTGAGGCGAAATATCTCGAGTTCCCCACGTAGCTCAATGCTCTTAATGCTATTAACTGTTGTCCTAGTACCCCGTAACTAGTTAGCGTCGAGAAAAGTTGCGGATTCGCCATAGAGCCGAAGCCAGGGCTTCAAAAAGGTCAGAAAATGGCATTTTTGGTAGGTTTTAGAAAATTTTGAAACTTTGAGGCGAAATATCTCGAGTTCCCCACCTAGCTCAATGCTCCAAATGATCTCAACTGTTGTTCTAGTACCCCTCAACTACTTGGCGTCGAGAAAAGTTGCGGATTCACCATTGAGCCCAAGCCAGGGCTTCAAAAATGTTCGAAAACGGCATTTTTGGTAGATTTTTGGGACATTTGTAAACTTTGAGGCGAAATACCTCGAGTTCCCCACCTAGCTCAATGCTCCAAACGTTATCAAGTGTTGTCCTAGTACCCCTTTACTGGTTGGCGTCGAGAAAAGTTGCGGATTCGCCATAGAGCCGAAGCCAAGCTTTCAAAACGGTCAGAAAATGGCATTTTTGGTAGATTTTTTGGACATTTGTAAACTTTGAGGCGAAATATCTCGACTTCCCCACCTAGCTCAATGCTCCAAATGTTCCTTAGTCTTGTCCTAGTACCCCTTAACTAGTTGGCGTCGAGAAAGGTTGCGGATTCACCATAGAGCCGAAGCCAGGGTTTCAAAAAAGTCAAAAAATGGCAGTTTTGGAAGATTTTTAGGAAATTTGGAAAACTTTGAGGCGAAATATCTCGAGTTCTCCACCTAGCTCAATGCTCTTAATGCTATTAACTGTTGTCCTAGTACCCCGTAACTAGTTAGCGTCGAGAAAAGTTGCGGATTCGCCATAGAGCCGAAGCCAGGGCTTCAAAAAGGTCAGAAAATGGCATTTTTGGTAGGTTTTAGAAAATTTTGAAACTTTGAGGCGAAATATCTCGAGTTCCCCACCTAGCTCAATGCTCCAAATGATCTCAACTGTTGTTCTAGTACCCCTCAACTACTTGGCGTCGAGAAAAGTTGCGGATTCACCATTGAGCCCAAGCCAGGGCTTCAAAAATGTTCGAAAACGGCATTTTTGGTAGATTTTTGGGACATTTGTAAACTTTGAGGCGAAATACCTCGAGTTCCCCACCTAGCTCAATGCTCCAAACGTTATCAAGTGTTGTCCTAGTACCCCTTTACTGGTTGGCGTCGAGAAAAGTTGCGGATTCGCCATAGAGCCGAAGCCAAGCTTTCAAAACGGTCAGAAAATGGCATTTTTGGTAGATTTTTTGGACATTTGTAAACTTTGAGGCGAAATATCTCGACTTCCCCACCTAGCTCAATGCTCCAAATGTTCCTTAGTCTTGTCCTAGTACCCCTTAACTAGTTGGCGTCGAGAAAGGTTGCGGATTCACCATAGAGCCGAAGCCAGGGTTTCAAAAAGTCAAAAAATGGCAGTTTTGGAAGATTTTTAGGAAATTTGTAAACTTTGAGGTGAAATATCTCGAGTTCCCCACCTAGCTCAATGCTCTTAATGCTATAAAGTGTTGTCCTAGTACTCCTTTTCTAGTTGGCGTGGAGAAAAGTTGCGGATTCACCATAGAGCCGAAGCCAAGCCTTTAAAAGTGTCAGTAAATGGCATTTTTGGTAGATTTTTCAAATATTTGTTAACTTTGAGGCGAAATATCTCGAGTTCCCCACCTAGTTCAACGCTCCAAATGTTATCAAGTTTTGTCCTAGTACCTCTTAACTAGTTGGCGTCGAGAAAAGTTGCGGATACGCTAAACAGCAGAAGCCATGGGTGTCAAGAACTAAAAATACGGCATTTTTACCACTTTTTTCTCAAAAATGGCGTCTCTGTGACGCTTGGATGGTCCTGTGGCACTTTTCCTACCAGAATGCGTCTTTCTGCATTAAGTTAAGTCAGTTAGAACAATAAAATATTTTTTTCCCACTTTTCGATCTTTCATTACACTGTGCCGCGGCGCCTCGACGTGTTCAGCCTTGCTGTCTGCAACAAAAGTCCGCAGCTTGGCGATGTCGCCGTAAGCGTCCGAGGACGCGTGCCAGTCGTAACTTAAATCGACTTCACGGCGGCCAAGTTCAACTTGCTCGACCCGGCCGTGGGCACCCATCCTGGCGGCCACCATCCACTCCTCGAGGCCGTCGTCCTCCTCACCCTCAAAGACAGGGTCCTCAAACTGGGCGCGTTCGGCAGCCTCCTCGGCCCTCAACTCGGCCGCCGCAGCCGCGGCAAGGGCGTGGATGTCACGATCACGCCTGGGCGCCAGGTTGTTGGCCTGGAACGCCTCCTTCCAGGTGGCAAAGCCGCCCTTGGCCTCCTCCTCGGTGCGCCACGGCACCTGCAGAAGGACCTCAACGCGGTAGAACTCCTCGTTCTGCTCGTCGTTGGGCGTGAGCTTGGGACGCGGGAACACGCGCACAACGGCCTCACGGCGGTTGGTGCTCCACCTGTTGTCGCGCCGGTTGGCGGGCGGGCCGCGTGTGAGAGCTACCTGCAAGAGGGACATGTTGGCCATGGCGGCGGGCCGCTCAGTGTACCTCTCGACGAAGGCCCCGAACGTCTCAGCGCCGTCGTGGTCCGCTGCGACGCCCAGGTCGTCGTCGCCCTCCGCAGCGCCGCCCTCTGCATCGCCACCCTCTGCAGCGTCGCCTTCCGGGTCCGGGTCGTCGACATCCCGGGGCTCGGCGGCACCGGCTGCACCCGCGGCACCCGCGGCGCCGTCCTGGGCGCCCTCGCCGGCGGCACCTTGGACACCAGCGGCACCAGCGGCGCCGTCCTCGGCGCGCTCGCCGTCCCTCCGCAGCTCCACCCACCTGCTCTTCCGCAAATCCACAATCACGAACTTGCGGGAGCAAACGTGGAGGGGCCGGCCGGAAAGGATGTGGCAGACTTCCTGGGCGGAGTAGTCTCTCTCTGAAACAGTCTTCATCAAAAGCTTTTGAACGACAGAGAGTGCAGAGTCCTCGTCGGGGATGTTCGCAAGGACTGCGGCGGCCAGCTCTGCGCACGTCTGCGAGCGTGCCTCGCCCTTGCTGACGTACTTGGCGCAGTACCTAAGCACAAAACCCAGAGAGAGAATGGGAGTAGCGTCCATGTTCGCTCTCCACAGCTGAATGACCCATCTCATGTACTTGTTGAGGAACGGGTCGTTCCTCTTCGTAAGCAGTTCAAACTGCCCTTGATCGTTCTGCAACAACCTAGAAACTGCCTCAATGTCAATGGGAAACTTGAAGCGACAATGCATCTGCCCAGTGGTCTTGTCCTTCCTCTGACAATACCCTGCATTGCACTTGTGTCGCTGCACCTTGTTCAGCAGCTCGATGAGATCCCGGTCCAAATCCTCGGCGTCGATCTCACCCAGTCGCACCCTGCAGGGGTGCACGTCGGCGGGGGGCGCGTCCATGTTGGGGTTGATGGTGGACATCAGCCCGTCAAAGTAGGCTATGACCTCGGCGCGCTCCGCCTCGGTCATGGTGGCCAGGTCATTGACGTTGGGACTTCCCCGGAGCCAAACGAGCATGTGCACGTGGGGCGAGCCACGGTGCTGGTACTCGAACCGGTACCAGTAGTCCTCGACGTCCTCCTTTAACTTAAAAGTCACCTCAATAAACAGTTTAGCCCTTTCCGAAAAAAATGCATCTGCTATGTGAGGATTCTCATTAAGGAGTTGCTGGCGGCGTGCGTCCGTCATGGTTTCGAAAGGCTCATTAGGCGCCAAGATACGAAACAAATCGGGCCAGTGCAAGTCAGCCGCACTCATCGACATGAACAGTGTAGGTGGCTTTTTCTTTTGCTCCACAAAATCCAACAACTCCCCGGTCCGGGCATGCCAGAAGGGCCGGGTGCCCTTGAGCTTGGACCCGTAGAACATGGCGTTCTTCAGGAAGTTCGGGTTCCGTTGTATGGCCGCCCGCAGATCTGCAGCACTCATGTTGCGATACTGCGGATTGTTCTTAATGAACACACGACCATTTGTAAGAGAAGACCAACGCATCATTGAGTTCAAGGCAAAAAACCTGAAAGTTGGGTGTTTGGCAAAACGCCCATCTCCATACTCAATGAGGTATCTAAAATACTCAGCCGTGTTGATCTTGTGCCTCCTTCCCTGCCGCAAGTCTGCCGCCCCGTGCGGGAACAGCGTCGGAAAGGCCGTGCTGATGAGTCCCTCAGTGAACTCGCTCACGGCGGCTCCACCAATGGCTGGCCAGGGGACGAAGCGCTGGCCCTGCCCCTCGACGGCGACCTGCACCTGGGCGTCCTGCCGCGGAGGCTGTAACACAGGAACACCAGTAGTGTGGATCCCGGTCGGCTCGGCCTCCGCCTCGGCGGGCACAGCCTCCACGGGCACGCCCTGCTCGGCCTCGGCGGGCACAGCCTGCTGGGCACCGGGAGGCACGACCACCACCGGCACGGCCTGCTGGGCCCCGGCGGGCGCGACCGGCACCGGCACGGCGGGCGCGACCACCACCGGCACGGCCTGCTGGGCCTCGGCGGGCGTGACCGGCACTGGAACCGGCACGGCCTGCTGGGCCTGCTGGCCAGGTGGCGGTGGCGGTGGCGCGTCGGGGACCTCTGGCCTAGCTACCTCTGGCTGCGGCTGCGGGGCATCAAAGCCCCGGACCTGGTTGAATGGCTTATTCAGTTAACGAGTCCGACATCCCACCGACTTGGGACCGACCTGGGACCGACTTTGCGCCGACTTTCGGCCCCCTCTCGTGGGAATGGCAATGGAGGGGGCAATCAGGTTGTACCAACCAAAAAAGATGAAAACTGGTTTTATAAACTCAAAGTAATGGGCATTTATGGTTTTTGAACTAGAGAGCGACTTTTCAAAAAATCAAACTAAGTCAAAGGGTGCAAGCACACGAAACGAAGATTGCGAAAACACGAAATCCAGCGAGTGCATACTTTGATTTGTTGTGTTGGCGTTATAGGCAGACAACTGACAGTCGAACAGTCTTATTTCGCGGGCCTTGAGGCATGGTTTGGTGGGTCTGGTACGCCGGGATTTAGAAGAATTGCGAATTACGATGTCTGACATTATAGACTATTCTATCTACGACGAAGACACGGATGGTTTTTTCACCGTGAAAGTTACACAGTCAAAAGCAGGTGAACTTTTTCAAGGTGAGTTGATCTCTGATAGCAACTTGATCGCCGGGCCCAGTGAACCTGTCGTCTAACGCCATTCATGTGGATTTTTCTCATTTTCAGATGGTTTAAAGACTGCTCGGTTTATTGCCTCCCTAAAGGCCCAGGGTTATGAGTCCATTCCGGCCAGCCAGTTCAGGCAAGGTTAGTCGTACAGCCTGCTGTCGAAAGTCATTTTTCGGTGGATCCCTTGCTTGTGGACCAACTCCCAGTCGCCTTGCCTTTTTTATTTTGAGTCTACATTCCCTTACGTCCATTCTGAGAAGCTATAATTTTTTCAGTTTTGCAATCCCTATTTTTGTTTACTATATTGTTTCATTGTAGGTCATGGAGCGATACCCACAAAAGGGAAGAAAAAACCCTTCCGATGGTCTGTTGCTGAAACCAGCAAGCTGCTTCAACTCTGTGCATTCATACGGCCCTCGTTGAGACAGAAGAAAGTACCATTGGAGGTTTACAACAACCTAGCAGAGAAGCTGAAGCCTTTCATGAGTAATGACCACAAATTAGAGCCTGCTACTGGTGTGCAGTGCAGGGAGAGAATCCGCACCCTAAAGTTGACCTTTGAGGAAATGAAGAAAAAACGTCAGGCCTGGGACTTTCTTGATGCCATGACACACATTTGGGATGCTCCACTTTCAGGTACAAATTTTGTGATTCTGTAACCCCAATAATTACTGGTACCATGATGTCAGCTCAGAAATATCCTCTAACATGTTTTCTGGTTTTATTCTTCAGTTGTTCAAAGGCAGTTAGGGACGACCTATGTAGTTGATCAACCAAAATTTGTGACCTCTTCTGGTAAGTTTATTATCCACACCTGATCGGTAATATCTGTAAGATACCTGACTGATAACACCCTTTTACTTTTCCAATCAGGAAATAGTACTGAAGCTCATCTTTCTGAAGATATTATGATTGAGGGTGGTGAAAGCATGCAGTTAGAGTCTCCTCTGCCTTTAATGGAGTCTGGTAAGCAGATTCCTCCCCATGGCAAGGCAATTTGCACTTAAATATGTTTTTAAGTGATTGACTACTAACAGTCTTTTTCTTTTCAGCTGGTAATCCATTTGGAGCAACTTATGTTGTCAATCAGCCCAAAGTTGTGACTTCAGCTAATGAGGTATTTGGAGCCACTTATGTTGTCAATCAGCCCAAAGTTGTGACTTCAGCTAATGAGGTATTTGGAGCCACTTATGTTGTCAGTCAGCCAAAATTTGTGACCTCTTCAGCTAATGAGGCATTTGGAGCCACATATATTGTTGGTCAGCCCAAATTTGTGACCTCTTCTGGTAAGTTCGTTATCCTCATCTAATCAGTAATATTTGTATGATATGTTACTGATAATACCCTTTTACTTTCCCAATCAGGAAATAGTACTCAAGCTCATCTTGCAGAAGATGTTATCATTGAGTGTGATCATGAAATTCAAGATATTATCACTAAGCGTGGTGATCAGATAAAGTTACAGTCTCACCCGTTTTTAATGGAGTCTGGTGAGGACATTCTTCACCAATATGCCAAGCCAATTTGCTCTTAAATATGTTTTTAAGCGATTGACTACTAACAGTCTTTTTCTTTTCAGCTGATGAGCTATTGGGAGCAACTTATGTTGACAGTCAGCCCAAAGTTGTGACCTCTTCAGGTACTGTCTGTTTGCATTCTGCCTGTTGGTATTATTCACTTTCAAAGCTGAATTTCAGTGTTCTTACACTAGACTAAATTTTTTCCAGAACATGAGCCAGACACAAGTTTTGCTTCCAATGATTTGAGAGATCAGCATGATTTTGCTGCCCATCAATCTATGTTTGAAAATAGTAAGTGGTCCTTTGCTCTCAAAAACTTCTGTGTGTTTACGTCTGTTTGCTAATATTTTTCTTTTACAGGTTCTTTGCCATCCGAGACATTTTTTGCAAAGAACCTGAATGCCAAGTCAACACCAGACGCCTTCCGTTCTCCTGCCAAGAAAAAAACTTCTGAGGGTGCTGCAGGCAAGCATTACTTCTCATCTGTGTGATGTGCTGTGTGGCGCATGTTTTAACTCTCATTAATACTTATTTCTTTTAGGTGGAGTTCGAACCCCCAAGTCAAATACACCGAAGAGGAAAAACAAATACGCTAATGTACTGTGGGGACCAGAGCATACACATGCCTTTTTGAAAGAGTGCGTTAAGAGAAAAGAATTTATCCAGTCTGGTAATGTTCCAAACTACATTTGGAAAGAAATTAGTGAGGAACTAGAGAAGGCTGAATATTCTGACTGTGATTGGCAAGTGTGTAGATATAAATTCTCTAGTCTGAATCTTTTCTTTGAGAAAAGCATGCTGAAAGTGAATGGTGTCATGGGACGGTCCAAATGGCCACATTATGAAGCATTCTTGGCTATCCATGACTTGCCACCAGACTACATGCCACCTGATGAAAACTTTCATGTCCATGAGGAAGATGGTACGTACTTTCTTCAGTTGTTGCTACTGTTCCAACACAAATGGTGACCTAATGCATCCTTTTCTTCCTTCAGAGAAAAAACTGTGGACTTCTAGAGCAGAAAATTTATTGATAACACTGTACAAACAAAAGAGGTCTTCCTTTAAATCTACTAAATCATTCATAAAACACACTGCTTTGTACAAGGAAATTGCAAGTGACATGCAAAAATTTGAACATGGTGCTAATGCAGATCAGTGTCAAAGGCATATGAATGAAATGCTCCAGTTCTTCCATGAGGAATTTGACAGGCAGAAAAAAAGCGGAGAAGCCCCAACTGAATGGGAGTGGTATCCTTTCTTCTTGTTAATGGAGAAAGGTAGTGCAAATTTGAACGCCCCATGTGTGTTCTCTGCTGGAGCATCCACTTCATACAGCATCGATGGATCAGATATGCCTATTGTAGAGAAACGAGGAACCAGAACCAGGTCGGCTCCTGCTGCACTCTCCTCTGATGATTCAAAAGATGCAGATGATCCCTCGCTCAATAATCAATCAGAATCCAAACCAAAGACTGGAGCAAAGAAGAAGCTTTACAAGACCTTTGCCCAAGAAATGCAAGAGAAAGCCGCAAAGGCTAAGGCTGACATGGTTAATGAAGTGAGACTGTTGCGCCTATCGCAGGAGGAAAAAAGTATTCCAAGGACTGCTGCCTTACAAACAATGGCTGAAGCCATCAAAGACATTTCGGCTTACTTCAAAAATGCTAAGTAAAGCAGCCAAGAAAGAGTACTTGCCTCTCAGGTGAAGTATGATTTACGTAAGTTGTCAATGATTGTTGTGAACGGGTATAAGTGATCTAAGAAGTGCAGTTCCTAGCTTGTGTTCGTTTTTTTTTTTTGTTCTATTCTATTTGTGTTTTTGTTGTGCTCAATGAGCAAGTTATTATTTTTATTTCTTCAATTTTGTATTGAATTGTCTTAAGTAACCCTTTCAGTCATGAATGCACCGATTCATCTGATACGTTCATAGGACATGCAGTTGGATAAGTCTTTAAGTTTATATACTTTAATTTGATTTTACTACGTGACCTGTATGAAACACTAGTCCGAAGTTTCATATTTTTTGTTACCACAAGTATTACTACTTATTAACATATTCATTGTTCTTTTATTATAACGAAATGTTCCCATAGGACATGTGATTTGAACCGAGTTGTTGATATTCTCAGCAGGATTCTCGAATAAATGTTTGCATTGAATCACTGAATATTTTTATTATGCACTAGTACCTACAGAGATGATGCTATGTTGGCAAAGGCATGCTGATGTTGATCAGAAAACTTATTAAAAAAATAGCAGCTAACACTATATACACTAATATACTGCAATATCACAGTAACCAGTCTGGTGCTGAAGAACAGGAGTAAACTAAATAATTGTGACAGACTCCAGTCCATTACTTTCATTTGGTAAACTTTTCCATTACAAAATTATCAGTTTGTGAAATAGACATTAAATATTACAAACACTTCCAGACCATGATATTAACATTAGAAAAAAGGCACATTTGAAGCATTACAATCACAGTAATAGTTTGGCAGTTGAAAAGGAAAATCTATACAAAATCATTCACCGTCTGGCAAGACATGTTGCATCAGGAATAGGCGTTTCTCTAATCCAAGTTCTTTGGCCCTTTCAAACAACTCACGTCTTTCAAAGCCATCAGGGTCTTCGTCTTCTTCATCATTGACATTGTTGTTGTTGTTTTGCCTATTGCCGAGGATTTGGTTGTTATTGATCGGCTGTGCTAATTCTTCTCCCTACAGAAGCAGTAAATAAAATAATCCATATGGCTATGAAGATGTGAAGATAGGATTCAGCTTTCACAGACACTCACTCGCAATGCTTGTTCTCCATTCAGGATGATGAAATTGTGTAACACAAAACAAGCTGTGATGTGGTCAACCACAATGTTTTGGTTCCTGGCGTGTAGAAATTTTAATCGTCTCCACTTCTCCTTACCACGTGCAAAAGCGTTCTCAACTCGAACTCTACATTGGGACAATCTCTTATTGAAGTTAAGCTGTTGTTCTGTCAGGTGTCCATTATTTAAAAATGGTATCATCATCTGCAACAGGAAATTAACAGTTAAAAATCAAGCACGAAATGAATGGATGCCTATATAATCAATTGTAATGAAACAGACAAATGTTAACTCACATAATATGTCAGAGTGTAGCCTCCATCACCCACTAAATGTTCATCAGGAGGAGTCAATCCTTCTTCTCGCAGAAGACTTTCACTTAGAGGGCTCCTTCTAAATACACGCTTGTCGTTCATGCTGCCCACCTCTCCCACATGAATATCTCGAACAAGGAGGTCACAATCTACAACAACTTGTACATTATGGCTGTACGTATGATGTCTGTTTCTGTACGATGCAGGATCATTCACTGGGGCTGTTACATATACATGTGTACAATCTATTGAACCTACAACTCCTGGAAAACCAGATGCTTCCTCGAATGTTGTTCTTATTCTTTCTCGATCTTCATTATCTGGCCATTGGATATAGTGTGGTGCAAGTTCCCTCAGAGCTTCTATAATGTAGCCATAGAAGTAATACAAAGTTCCTGGTGACACTCCAAATCTCAATGCAACGCTCCTAAAGGAATCAGGTGTTGCTAAAATCCACAGCACCATCAAAACAACATCTCTAAATGGCCGTCTTTCTCTCCTCAACCTGCCTGTGTCTCTCAGGTACTGGTGCAAGGTGTCACAGAGAGCCTGAAAGCAAAGTAATTTTTAAACAATAACATTGAAAAGGGGGCATAGTACAAGTATCACAGTACTGAGGAAACAATTACCTCAAACACCACTTTCCCCATTCGGAAATGAAGTCTGAACACTCGGTCTGGCATATCGTGGTATTCGTTTATGTCGACGGTAATGTATGTCCAGGATTCACCCCCTAAATCGGCTGTAGGCAAAGAAACGAATCAGACGAAGTGACGCTATTAGAACTGAAGTAACTAGGCACAAACTAATATATTACCTAAGCCCTGTCCCTCTTCCAGAGCCATAACCTCTTCTACTTCTTCTGTTGCTATTCTAATAGCCAATAAATACACTGCATCATCATCAGCGTCATCCTCTTCAACAACTTGAGTAGCCATGACGGCCACGTTCATGGCAACATTTAACGCAGCTTCATCCATTTCTCCAAAATTTTAAAATTTTACAGTAAGGAAGCAAGCACAGAGCAAGTAACCACTACATTTACCAAAACCGGATGTTTTTGTTTTCCGCTGCGGGTGAGCCCCAGGTCTCAGCACAACAAATCAAAGTATGCACTCGCTGGATTTCGTGTTTTCGCAATCTTCGTTTCGTGTGCTTGCACCCTTTGACTTAGTTTGATTTTTTGAAAAGTCGCTCTCTAGTTCAAAAACCATAAATGCCCATTACTTTGAGTTTATAAAACCAGTTTTCATCTTTTTTGGTTGGTACAACCTGATTGCCCCCTCCATTGCCATTCCCACGAGAGGGGGCCGAAAGTCGGCGCAAAGTCGGTCCCAGGTCGGTCCCAAGTCGGTGGGATGTCGGACTCGTTAACTGAATAAGCCAGAAGACGCAGCCGTCCTCGGGCAGCTCGGCGAGATTCTGCTCCGAAATCTCCACGTCCTGGTAGCACTGTGCGAAAAAACCACAGCGAATCCCGTTAATTTTTTTGCCGGGATTCACTGTAGTTCAGAACACAGGGTTTACTGTGCCTGGCTACAATATTTACTGTACCTGGTACAGGATATTCCGTACTCCACCCCCGTGGTACAATAAATCCCGTACAAAGTACAGTAGATCCTGTAAAAAAGTACAGTAAATCCTGTACGCTGAACTACAGTGACAGCTGTACTAATCACAACAGGATTTACTGTGATTTTTTCCCACAGTGAGTACCTGTGGTGGAGCTTCAGGTACTGCAGCGCCTCGCGCACTCTACCGGCGCGCACTTGAAAATCAACGTGGCCGCCGCCGCCCTCAGAGCGCACAGCTATCACCGAGTCCAAGTCGGCGACGCGGTGCGGCAGGCTCGTGGCAAACCGACCGACATCCTGCGAGAAGTTGATCACATTACCTGAGTATCCGAGCTGGTTACCCTTCAGCTTGTACACGGAGACCACAGGGTGGTGACGTGCAATCAGCTGCGACTCCACAAAGTTCAGGATGCTGAGTTCCGGCGGCACCGGGTAGGGATGCATGTAGTTTGCGTCAACAAACTTTTCCCAGCACCTCGTTGAGGTCGGACACCGGTAGGCCTCGAAGGCGACACCCTGTATCCTGAAGGTGCCCCGGTTGCACATGCCGCACTTGGCGATGTGCAAGTTGCGCATCGATTGCTCGAAGAGCTCCTCCACAGTGGCCGCCCGGGCGGCACGGCGGCGACCACCACGAGGTGGCGGGGGAGCGCCGTCGGCGCCGGCACCCTCGGCACCACCGGCTGGGGGCACGACGGGGGCCTCGAGGTCCACGACGCGGTTGCGGAGCGTGCGCTGCATGCGGTTGTGCACCAAGCGCTCGGGGGTCTCGACGGCGCGCACGTCCGCCATGTGCGCGGCGAGCTGCTCACGCGCCTGAGCCGCGGCCTCCGGGGACTGCGCCGCGCGCGCTTCGGCGTGGCGTGCCGCGTCGGCAGCCAGACGGACGGCCCTCTCCTCCTCGTCCTCCGCGGCGCGAGCGTCAGCGTGTCGATCTGCGTCGGCAGCCTGGCGAGCGGCCCTCCTGTCGTCGTCCTCCGCGGCGCGAGCATCAGCGTGTCGGCCTGCATCGGCAGCCTGACGAGCGGCCCTCTCGTCGTCGTCCTCCGCGGCGCGAGCATCAGCGTGTCGGCCTGCATCGGCAGCCTGACGAGCGGCCCTCTCGCACTGTCAGAAATTTTGTCGTAAATTAGCGACAAAAACGTCGCTAATTTTGATAGCGACAGAAATCGTTCTGAAACTACTTCGTCGTAACTAAACGACTAAAAAATCATTCCTCTACGACAATGTCGTAATCGCGATTACATATTATAAAATGTGAGATCCCCGAAAAGTTGATGCTATGCTGTAATTTTGCTCGCTTATTTATGATTTGTGTCGTTCATTTACGATTCATTACACAAATGTACGACAAGATTCGTAAATGTACGACTGAAGTCATAACTGCACGACATGTTCAATAGATAAATTACGATTGTTCGTAAACTTACGATTAAGTTGTAAATTTAAGACTTAATTCGTTTCAAAACGGAACGGGTCGCTATCAAAATTAGCGACAAATATGTCGTAAATTTGCGACTCAAATCGTATATTTACGACTTAAGTCGTAACAAAATATGTCGTTTAAAAACGGCATAATTGTTCTACAAAATGTCGTAAATTTACGATTATTTTTAACAGTGCGTCGTCGTCCTCCGCGGCGCGAGCATCAGCGTGTCGGCCTGCATCGGCAGCCTGAAGAGCGGCCCTCTCGTCGTCGTCCTCCGCGGCGCGAGCAGCAGCGTGTCGGCCTGCGTCGCCTCCCAGGCGAGAAGCCCTCTCGGTCGGAGTCTCCCGTGCCCGAGCTTGACGCATGAGATCCGCGTTTACCGCGGTGCGAATTGCCCTCTCGTCCGGCGTCTCCCGCTGCCGGGCACGTCGCTGGTCGTCGGCTGCCTGGGCGCGGCGCTGGGAAGCAGCCTCTTCTCCTTCTGCAGCTCGGTGACGCCGTACTCGCGCCGCCTCGTCCTGCCGGTGTTGCTCGGCCTCCTCCGCGGACCGTTCTTCTCGGCGCCGCTTGTCGGCTTCGGCCCTGCTCGCTGCTTTCGCCGCCTCACTCTTGCGTTTACCTCGGGGCACTGCAGAAAGCAAAGAGAAAAACATATGATTAAGAATCAGGTGCCACAGTGGCTTTCAAAACCAACACCGAAAAGAAAAAGAAGAAAATAGATTTTAATGGATGATAGCCAAAGCTCATTGTGAAGAAAATGTTGATCTTTTAATAAGCCAAGGGAACTTCTTTGTATACCGTGAAACGGGGTAACTTCGGACACTTTTGATAGTTTTTTTTGAAATTGTCAAAGTTGTGGTGCTGTCATGGACTTGAGGGTTAAAATTTATCATCTACCCACCTTTAGCTTCGTTTTGGCGCATATTTCAAATATCTGCACCTCACCGTTTTTACAGTGGAGGGTCCGAAGCAGTGTCCGAAATTACCCCGTGTTTTGGGGTAATTTCGGACACTCCTGGAAAAAACCACTTTTCGTTCTGATTTTGGTCCCAAAATCGATCACTATCTCTTTCTAAAGTGATAATACTATGATAATGTGAGAGATTCGTAAGGGTTTAGATGTAAAGGTAATGTAGGGGTGGTCATTCATACATAATTTGAAGTCATGTTTTTGCACTCAAATGTAGTTCGATTTCATGAATAGTGGGTGGAACTAGTAGAGCCATTTAGACGCTTCTTTTTTCTAATTTTTGACCGATTAGCTTTCATAAGCAACTCGGGCCATACTTTATTACGAAAAAGTGAATCTTAAATCTTCCTCTACAAGATTACATACGATCACATACGTGCATATGAAGGGCAAGTAGTCGTGTCTTATGTACGGTTAGGAAGATACAGGGGCTCAGTGGAAAGCTTTGCAGTTCAATTGTGGTAAACCGGCGAGCTATGGAGCCATTCGCCAAGTCCAACTCTCATGTCACATGAAAATAAATTAATCACAAAACAGTCGTTGACACTAAGGTAGGATATGCATATAAAACTAAGTATTAAAGATGTAGCTTTGCCCCATTTTTATGAAATTCGAAGTTTACAAAGCAACCGCTGTAACAATTGGGGATTATCGTTGTTATTGGATTATCTTCAACTTTCAGAAGAGCTTTTCAGCTTCCACCACTCAAACCCTGCGAAATTGAAAGTGTTCAGGACATACGCACTCTCCCTGGCGTGACGTTTGTATGTCCGAAATTACCCCGTAAAGTAACATTTTTTTAGTTTTTAGCCTATATAAACCATACTATTTGACCCAGGTGATTGAAAATTTGACACAGTATGCTCTTAACATGATCGAATCGACAAACAATCACCTCATGAACCGGCCATGAACAGTTTCGGCTTGCCAGTCAAAGTTTTTACGCATAAAGCAAATTTAGGTAAAAATGGTTAAATACAAAAACCACTCTTTCTCCTGAAGTTTGGCCCTCATTTGGCCTCCGGGTGATTGATCAGATGGTTTTAAGTGTGGCCGATGCGATGCGCGCAACGGGACAAGCCTCCAAGCTGGCCGTTAGATGGGAGCATCATCACCATGCTTCCGGGCAGAGTTGTCCGAAATTACACCGAGTGTCCGAAATTACCCCGTTTCACGGTAGCTTGTGTTCTACACATTAGCTTGATTAGCTCTCATTTTAAAAAATATAAATGCATAAAAGCTTAGAACAGTGAAGCGGGAACTTAAAAGGTGGCAAAAAAGTACAGTCGTGAGCAGTGCATGGTCAATTAATCCAATTACGATTAGACAAAATTCATTCACAAAACAGAATATTTCTTTCACAGAAGCCACCAGACACAGAAAGCATTTCCCAGAAAATGAAAGAAGCTTTGTTGGGCAGAATCAAACAAAAATTATTATTTGAGATTGTTAAGTTAAGGGGGGGAGACTCGTCATTTTACGTCAAAAAATCAGATTTTCGTTTTTGAGTTTTTCGAATTCTTTGTGTCAAACCCTTGAAATTGGTGGCTGGCTGGTTTCGAAATTCAAAACCGTTTGGCCATAGGATGACTTCTTGTAATTTTTTTTCCACAGGATAGGTTAGACCGTTTGAACTTTGAAGCCATTTAACTCAATTGCAATATTTTGGGTCTTGCGCGCACGATTTGAACCTGACCGTTGATTGTTTCGACTCAATAATTTTTCCTATGATTTGTCTCTATAAGGCCGTCACTCTGAACTAGGATATCTTCAATCGGACCAGTAGATGTGTCCGAAAAAATTATTGAAATGTCTAAATTTAAAGGCTTTTCTTTGTACACTTAAAAATGTAAATTTGAGATACTTAGGAACCAGGTATTTCAATCGTTCTAGTTCAATCTAGAGTGCCAGGAGTCTTCTTGAGGGAGCAACATAGACATTTATGATATGATGCCGCATTCTCTGAAAATCATGCGCGCAGTGAATTTTTGGCGTATTTTAGTGGTTTAGTAGAAAGATCACAGATTCTAGGTCATAGGGCCTAGAGTCAAACTTTTTTTTTTGAAATCAACATTAAAGAACCAGCCCACTAACCTTTAAATTTATTGGAAAGATTTTTTATTTAAGCCTGAAATTTGTTAAAATTTTGGTGTTAAAGACGAGTCTCCCCCCTTAATATCTCAGCACAAATAATGTATTATCAGCATTGTTTATTAATATTGTCTTCTGGCTGCTTAAAGCAAAGACAAGCTATGAGAAGTAAACATGCATTAATATAATAAATGGTGTAGTCACAGAAGTTCCATATTTCAGACAGATAGCAGGGTTAAAATTCAGAAAGGAATTTTCTTGGCCCACGATCTGGCAAGAATTACAATAGACCACAATTTCCAAATAAAAATGAAGGAAAACAAAGCATTATAAGTATAAGAAATAAACCTTGCTCCAATGTCCTGTAAAAGAAGAAGAAGCAGTTAGTTTGCTAGTTGCGTGCAGGATAATGAATAACGTACAAGTATAATAGGAACAGAAAGCTCGAGACATTACCAGAGACCGAAGCCCAATGATTCCCAACCAGCAAGCAGAAATCAACGCTGGGCATTGGCACACGATAGAACTTAAACAAGTCTCAATTATCAAACTGAACATAATCCTGCAAAAGTAAAAGAAATAATAAATTTTCCACTATAATGAAACAAATGTATAAGCAAAATATACAAAATTTGCACTGACATAATGAAACCAGTCCAGCAACCGCAGGTGGGCAACACTTTGAGAAAGCCACAGACAACACTAAAGAGAATGATTCTCGATCCCAATGAAAGGCACAGGAAAACTGCAGTTACACTATGCTGTGCAAAATTTTACAAAAACGGATAGAACAAAAGCAATCAAGTGGCTTTTTTGCAGAACAAAAACAAGAATTGAAAGATTTAAAAGGTTTGATGATCGTACTTACCAGTTATATTTCTCTTGAAGTTGCACCACTTTTCAATACCTGCAGAATAGGAAATAACTCTTACAAAAGTCGATTTTCAAGCAATTTGCTCTTTATTTTGCCCTACTTGGAAAGTCCCATATTTAAGCCGCGACCGCAAGCAGCCGAAAATGGCAACACTGCTGCCAACCTAACCATGCTAATAACCTAGTTCAAAAAGATGTTTTCAATATTTCAAACGATACCAATTTCAAAATAGAAACAAACTCGTGTTGGAAGGAACTTAGACGATGTTCAATGCAAAATTAGGGAGTTGTGGACTGTGTAGTTGCTGAGAATCGTTGGTGAGTACAAACACACAGACAGACAGACAGACAGACTCACGACCAATCACTTTTCAGCGCGCCCAAACACGGCAAGGGCTTCGCTATCGCTCAGCCAAAAAATTTCACCAAAAAATTTTCAACTAAAAAATTTTCACCTAAAAAAAAAATTTCTGAGAAAATAACAGGAAAAGTAGCGATATACATCGGCAACTTTGGCCCGTCCCGTACATTAACAAATGTGTGAATTTCGCCTTTGTTTAGCCCTGACGGGTTGGAACCTGAGTCTGGGGTCAAAATGGATGTTATTTCCGTCATCAGCGCCCTCAAAAACATAAGAAACAATGCAAAAACTCGAATAAAAAGAATGTTCAAAATATATCCCACCGGGATTTGAACCCGGGTCCAAACTTCTTCGATTCGCTTGAAACTGGCACCATTGGTTTTGTCTCGTCACCCCGATTCCAAAAATACCCCTACATGCCCTGCTAGCTGTATCCGTTGCCGAAATCCTCCTCGACCCCATGTAGACCATGATGCACCTGCAGCAGCGCCCCCGGGGCTCGGATCGGATTTGCTGCCACCGGGCGGTTCTTAAGGTCACCCAAGGAGGCTGCATACCAAATTTGGTCAAGATCGGACCACGGGAAGTCCTCGGACGAACGGACGAACGAACGGACGCACAGCATGCATCATACTATATGCCCGTCCCTCCGTCATTTTTTTACAAAAAATAAACGGGACGGGCTAAAAATTCAAAATGGCGGACCCGCAACAATGAGGGTCAAGATGGCGGCCCGCTACAATGGGGGGGCCTTTACTACTATCGTTTTGTTAGCCAAGCGGTAAATTTCACATTTCGACTTGGAATTTCATAACCCACTGGCACCATAAATTCACTGTCGCGGTTTTTAGAAAGTGACCTTTCCATAGCCAGTGGCGCTTTAAACACACTTTCGTGTCTGGCTAAGAAAATTCAAGAAGCCATTGGCTACATAAATTTAAAGATATTTTTTACAGTGCAGTCACGTTTGGATTGGCGTCGATTTTTCCAACCAGGTCAAAAATAGGCGATTTTTGGGTGTTTTTCGCTATAAACGTGGGTTTGGAGTTAACCTAGGACCCCCATACCGGCAAATTCTGATTCCTTGTCCAAAATTACGTCAAGAGAACTTTACCGCACCCATTTATGACTATTATTGCCCGATCTGTGGCCAATTTTCACTTTTTAGTAAAAATTAAAACTTTAGGTAGTTGCAAAACTTTAGGATGCTGCCATTTCTAAACTACTGGAGCTACAGCGGTGAAATTTCGCACAGAAGGACAACATTTGGGCAAAATATGGGCGACATCGGAGATGGTCATGCAAAAGGTGGCTAATCACTCCTGGAATGACCCATGGACGACATCGTGACTCACCTTAATGTGCACTAGGTGAGAGGTGTGGAGCGACGGCGAAGACGCGTTGCACCACGCTTCGGACCTGCGATCTGGAACACCTACGAAGCTGCACTCGCTGGGGAACAGAGAACCCACAACGCAGTAGAGGGCTGGCACAACCACCTGCAGCGCTTGATTGTTATCCGCCACGCAAGCATTTGGAGGTTCCTGGAGAATTTGAAGGAAGAAAACGAAATTTTCACCCAACTGACCCAGGTCAGAGGAGGCCACACCAAAATCAAGGAGCCGGTCAACAAGAAGTACCTGACGAACCAGCGGCAACTTGAGCAGATCGTCAGCAACTACCAGCGCTACAAGGACGGCGGCGAAGTCCTGACCAACCTGCCATCGGGTACCATCTGAAGGCCGCACTGATAATCCAAGTGTGGGACAGGCATGCACTAGAGATAACGTGGGACAAACCGTGTTACACGCTTACAAGCGTGGGACAAACCGTGTCCCACGCTATCTAGTGCATGCCTGTCCCACACTTGGATTTTCAGTGCGGAGCTCCACCCAACGACCAGCAGGAGGGCCAGGATGAGGAGGACCAGGAGTAAGGTGTGTATTTTTCTCATGAGAAACGTCCTACGGAGAGCGACAATAGGATCATCTGACCTAAGATATTTTCATAGCTGTGGCGCGGTGTTGTTGCTGCGGAGTGTTGGTCTCCGGTGCTGCGACGCGGTGCTCCCGGGTGCTTCGACGCGGAGCTGTGATGCGGTGCTTCGGTGCTTGAATAAATTTGGACATTCTGACTCATGGACCAAATGGTTTCTGGACCTTAACCCTTTAAGTCACCATCCGTTACCCGTCACTTTAAAAAAGAGAACTGTCTATATTCTTGTTGCTTTTGTCTTCCTGATTCCAAAAATGTCAGTTTCACTAAAATCGGCCGAGTAGTTTTTGAGATACGGAATGTCCTTCCGGAGGGACACGGTGACACTAGGGAGAATAGTGGTCTTTCGTCAATAGACGATATAAAAACGATGCCGACTTGATATTTAAGAACCTTTCAGTAGTTCTTTTACCTACGAGTATCATTGAACAGTGTCATAAATCAGCCCGAGCCAATTTGTGTGTTTTCTAGCTTTTGAAAATTTTATCCTACATATAAAATGGCCGAAAATCTGCATTTGGTGTTATTTTTTCAAATGACATCATCCATTAGTCCCAAAACAAGCTAAAAATGCAACTCAAACTTTTTTGGAAAAAATCGCCCAAGCAAACATCAAAAATGGGTATGTCCTTCTAGAGGGACATTGTGATTTAAAATATTTCGAATATTTTCTTGAGTCAGTCTGCTGCTGGCTTCGCCCCAAATCTTCTTTATTGGTGGAAAATACAATTTTAGGCCCCATGGTTGTTGTGTAACTGCCTGCCCCCCCCCCCCCAAAAAAAAAAAAAAAAAAATCTATCCCGTCCTCTCATAATATATGGGAACCTCGTGGAGCCTCGGAACGCTAATGCATTTGGCAGGACGTTCCCAAATATAACGAACTTTAGATTTTGGTTCAATGAAAGCCGACAGTAGACAATTAAATAATTTGTCCTTTTGAAGGGACGTTGTGACTCGAAAAAGTCTTGAGCTCGCTAGTAAACTCTTCAGTATCGCATTCAGGGCGCTACTAATAGCGCCCTGACTAAGTGCATTGAATCTTACATTACATTGAGTAAGACCAGGCACAGTTCCAGGGGAGGGGCGATGGGGGCGTCGCCCTTACCGCGAGAGCAGAGAAGCTGCCTGACAGGTAGGCGAAGGGTCGCACTTTGCCCCTGTGCGCAGGCAACTTTTCCTGCACCCCCCTCTCTCAACATGGATCTGGATCTAGTCTTGAGTAAGATCAACTCCACACTCACAAACAAATTGAACCATGGACAAGCCTTGGCCCATCCATCGCAACGCAATGTGGGCACTGCGCTACCGCGGCCTCACCGCCCCGCCGCGCCCGCCGCCCTCTCAGCCGCCGCCCCTAGAGACCCTCCCGTCAGAGATGCGCAGGCGCGAGCGCTTGGCAGTCCCGTCCAGGCAATGGCACTCTGCGCCAGGCTAGCCGGCTAGCCAGCTCCACCGCTGCTAGGCCGAGGAGCCTCGCGCGGGGGCTCCCTACTCCGCATGGGACTACCAGTCGTCTGTGATTGGCCGAAAGGGGCCTCCGCTGCGTGTCTCTGGTGCGAGGGTCTCTAGTCGCCCCCTCCGCTGTGTATTGTTTACCGGACCCAAACAATCATACCATGGTAACATGCTGTGCCTGCCCTGCGCGCCTATCACGCGGAAGTTGCGGATCAGCTCCAAGAAAATCTTGAATATGCTGCGCCGCTGCAGAAGCGAATCGTCGCTCAAGGACCCCGTCCCAACCCGCCCTCCTCCTGCAACAGCTCCGGTGCTGGAGACGGCGCCCTTGCGGACGCTGTTTCGGGAGGCGGGTCCTGCCCCTGACACGCCGCCGCTGCTCTACACCTCCGTGTTGCCACCCACCTCCGCTCTGCCGCCTGTGGCATGCCGTGCTGAAACTGCCCTTCACCGGGTGGTTCCGGGTACAGCCGATGAAATCCGGTCAGAAGTGTCAGCAGCAGAGCCTTCCCCCCAACCCCCACCGCCGCCAGAGCCTTCCCCCCAACCCCCACCGCCACCAGAGCCTTCCCCCAACCCCCACCGCCGCCAGAGCACCAGCCACATCCAACTTCAAGTTTCTGGTTAGTGCAAGTAAAAGTTTTGGTCGTTTTTGAATAAAGTCTCACTCATATGCATCTGTGCATATAGTGTGTCGTTCCCATCTCAAAATAGGCAAAACGTTGCGGAACAAACCATTGTGTTTATAAAATTTTGTGGATAATGTTGGAAGTCAGAACTATGCATTACGGCTTTGGAAAACTTTGGAAACGTGCAAAGATTTCTATTATTTATGATCAAAATTGAAAGCAAGGTATTACTGCTTTTCCTTTTATCAACTGTATTTTATGTTCTTCCAGGCGCCTGGTCTGCAGGCCCTCAAAAGGGCAGCTTGCCCTTGAGGAGATACAGGACGTGAAGAGAGACATAGGGTGCATGCAACAACAAATGACAGACATGGACCGGACAGTGCAGCTCCTCGTCATCCAGCAGCAGGTAAAGAAACGGACAGTTATTGAAGTT